CTTGTATGATAGATCCTCTTATGAGTAATTTCCATCATTAAATGAGTTATATGGTAAAATAAGCTAAGAATTGAATGAATATATAGGTCTGATAGATTATTCTTTCATGACATCAATACATTGGGAAAAAAGGAAGTATTTTAGGGTACTTATAGAAGACTTTTCCCTGGAGCAAGAATATTTATTGCAAATTACATATACAGTATGGCAGTCACCAATATCTTGCACTACCATGATATTAATGTATCTCTTAATACCAAGAGGGTTTCAACTACTATGTATTCAAAATATACATAGGATATATATTTTTTTAAGATTTTATTTATATGTACATACAGAACTGGGGTACAGGGCAGAGGCTCAGGGGCGGTGAGAGGCTTCACCAGCGACAGAGTGGGGAGCAGAACAGACAGATCTACAAAGTACACTGCTGAGGGGAGCAGCGGGCGGGTCAGGAGAGGTCTGCCACGCCATGTGGTCACCTCCAGGGCAGGCGGGAATCGAACTCATGCGGAGGTGGCTTTAGCTTCTCAGTGGAGTGCTTTAATCCGCTGTGCCACGGGGAGGGCCCGGATATTTTTTAATATCATCCATTTTTTTAAATCTTTTATGGATTCTTTCTCCAACAGCCAAAATACTGTACTTTACCATTTCTTCCATAATCAATTAGGATTTCTTGTGATTTTTAAAAATAAAATGTATTTTATTAACTTATTCACTTACATTCATGATTAAATACTCCAGATAGGAGACCTGCCTTAAGTGGGACATTAAGCCAGGTAGATTTAATAAGTGTATATGGAACATACTACCCAAAAGCTACAGAACACACATACTTCTCAAGTACAATTGGATCATTTTCCAAGATAGATCATATGTTGGGCTTCAAAATAAGTCTCAATAAATTTAAGAGCATTAAAATCAGATCAAGCAACTGTTTCAACCACAATGGTGTAAACTAGAAATTAACTACACAAAGAAAACTGGAAAATTCACAGATATGTGGAGATTAAACAATACTATTGAAAATTGAGTCGGTGGGGAAAAAAATCAAGAGAAATCAAAAAGTGTCCTAAGAGATATGAAATGGGAACCAAAAAAAAAAAAAAAATAACTAAATAACAATAGAATGCAGCAAAATCAGTTCTAAAAGGGAAGCTCACAGCAATAAAGTTTACTTCAAGAAACACCTCAAATATATAACCTAATTACGCTTCAAAGTCCAGAGTCATGAAATACAACAAAAATACAATTTTTAAAAATCAGTGAAAAAGAGCAAATTCTTTGTAACGATAAAACTAACAAATGACCATTCTCTCCACATTTTGGACTCCACAGTGGAAACACGGTGAGACAGGAGGAGGGAGTTAGGAATCCTATGAAAATCAGTGTTTTCCTAAATGCCCCGTAACTCGAGTTCATCTCTAACTCCTAAGAGTGCTCTCTGGAGATCAGAGTCCACCACGTGCCACACCCCAACTTGAACGTGACACTAAGGCAGAGACTTGTTGCTCCCCAGAGCCCCTTCAGTATATAGGATGATGCGGAGTGGCGAAGGGTCTTCAAGGTCAAGGCGGTCGCTCGGTCGGTCCCGCGCCCAAAATCTCCCTTTCCCTCCCAAGAGAAACCAAACTGGCCGGGAAGCTGTGCCCCTGGGTCCCAAGAGAAAGACACCCGGCCCAAAGCCCGGGCTTTACCTCGGGGAGGTGGCGGCGAGACCCAGCAAGGCGCGGCGCGGCTGCCAGCTCTTTGCACCTCAAGAGAGAGCGAACCCTCCACAGGGCCGCGGGAAGAGGGGTGTAATCCACCGCGCACCGTCTCCATAGCGACCCGGGCACGCGGAAGGCAGCGCCGCTGCCCGTAGGACAGCGGTCACTGCGGCTGGAGCTCGCTGCAGCCGGCTCCTCAGCACCGATCGCCCGTCCTGCACCGGCCATCCGCATGCGTCCCCACTGCCGCAGCCGAATTCCTGCCACTGTGGAATCCGGCTCTTTTGCCACAATCCAGGGAGCCCCCGGTGGGTCCTGGGTGCTACCTGTCCTAGAAGGCCTAGGAGGGTCAGCTGAGAGGCCAGACGCCAGGCTGCGGGACCCCAAGAAGAGACTGGGGCACTGTAACCAAAGTTTGCTTGTTGTTAAATAACAATTTTAAGGCCGTGTGAGAGGAAAGATAGGGGTTGTCATCTTCAGGCAATCCTTCGAGTATTTTAATACTTATTGCCAATTTAGCATTATGCAGGAGGTACCAAAACCAAAATAGCATTAAATTAAAAAAAGCACCCTTCCCAATTAATTTCTCATGGGGCTGATCAGCCTTTAAAACTTTATCATGGGCCCTCCCAGGTGGCACAGCGGGTTAAAGCACAGCACTAAGAAACTTAAGCCACTTCCACATGAGTTCCATCCCCGCCTGCCCCGAGGAGATCCATATGGCGCTGGCGCGGCAGACCTCTCCTGACCCGCCCGCTGCTCCTCTCAGCAGTGTACTTCGTTGATCTGCCTGTTCTGCTCCGCACTCTGTCTCTGGTGAAGCCTCTTGCCGCCCCTGAGCCTCTGGCCTGTACCCCAGTTCTATGTGCACAAATAAATAAATCTTTAACAAAAAAAACTTTAGGCCCTCCCCGGTGTTGCAGCCGTGTTAAAGTACAGCACTGACAATCTAAATCTGCTTCCGCATGAGTTCGATTCCCGCCTTCCCTGGAGGTGACCACATGGTGTGGCAGACCTCTCCTGACCTGTCCGCTGCTCCCCTCAGCAGTGTACTTCATAGATCTGCCTGTTCTGCTCCCCACTGTCTCTGATGAAGCCTCTCACCGCCCCTGAGCCTCTGGCCTGTACCCCAGCTCTGTATGCAAATAAATAAATCTTTAAAAAACACACACACACACCCTATTCTTCTTAAAAAAACAAAACTTTATCATGAAGCCTTTTACTCTTTCATATGTAAGTGAAGTTTGCTCCATGGAAAGATGTTCACTATATGAAAGGCAGGTTAGAAAGCTATATGAATATTACCATCTAATTTTCATAAACAGTTTAAGAAGCTTGGAAATATGTAGGTAAATATAGTTTGCTCTGGGTAGTACGTTTAAAAAAAAAAGACTTATTTTTATTAATGTATTCAAGAACAAAGGTGTAGGCGAGGGGGATTGAGGGGGAGGTGAGAGGATTCACCAGAGACAGAGTGGAGAACAGAACAGGGGATCCATTTAAATTCACTGCTAAGGGGAGTAGTTACAGGAGAGGTCTGCTGTGATATGTGGACGAGATGCCTGGCCAGGGACTCAGGCCGCAGGTGACAGCATGATATCACTGAGACTTAGTCCCTACACCAACAGAGAGGCCCCTAATATGGTGTTTTACATCTCTGAATTTTTTTTCTATAATATGCAATAGCTAAATAAATTTCGTTCTCAAAAGTTTTATTCTAATCCAAACTTCTCATTTTTAGCCTATTGGTTTTTACACGGTTAAATTGCACGAAAAGATACAAATTAGATGAATAAAGCTGGAATCACATGGGGTCTTTTTACACAAAGGGCCAATGAACTGACTGAATAAACAAGGTCAAAAGGCTGCTTGGTCACTAATCCACAGGAAACAGCTTTTGTTTTATTCCATCTCAGGACTCATCCAAGAAAAACATTCATATGGCAAAATTTCCCTTTGTGGTCTTACCCTAGGGTGCTATTTCTCTCCCCTCAAATCCCTATTCTCTCAACCCAACTAAAAAGTTTCTAAAGTGGCAGATATCATGTTCTGGTGATTTTAAAGATTGATTATGCTTGAATCATCTCCAATAAGAACCTCGCTTCTTTTTATAGTTAGCATACCTTAAAGCCAATTATTACTGCTAAGAGTTGCATTTTAAACTTTTTTGGGGGCACATAGTATTGTTTGGCAATGGACTAAAGAAGTCATTGTGGTTGAGTTGCAGATAATACATTTTTTTTAATGCATTCAATAATGTCAAGACAAGCACTAAAATGCATAAGAGAAAACCTATTATTAATACTTCAGTAGGATCAGAATGTTCTCATTTTAAATACAAATGGCAAAAGCCAAATAAAGGTGTAGTATGAGGCTGCAGAAAGTGGCAAACTGGAAACAGAATGCAAAAGAGAGTAAAAGCACTGATTATATGGATCAATACTCTTTGAATTCAGAATGCCAAAAATTACTAAAACCAAGATTATTTTTAGTGTTATTCAGTGGGCTCCCAACCTTCCTGAACCTAACTAGGTGCTTGTTTCTGTGGCCTGGAGACGAAGTGGTAGTAGCACAGGCCCCTTCTGCAGGGTGAAGACAACTGGGCTAGGAATGGATAAACAGGTGAAGTACTGACATGTCACAACATGGATGAACCTCAACAAGCATGATCAGAGAGTCACAAAGCACTGCACATGGCATGATTTAGCAAAATATTCAAAAAAAGGCAAATCAAGAGAGTAAGAATGGTGCTGCCAAAGGATGGGGGTGTTCAGAAACGGGAGGTGACTGGTAATGGGCTTCTCTGTAGGCAATGAAGTGTATTACAGTCAGATTATGGTGATGGCTGCATAAAACCTCTGAATTGTACACTTTAAAAGGGTATCCTCCCTGATACATCAATTACTACTTTAAGAAAGCTGTCTGAAAAGGGTAATAAGTCTGCTTCTGATTGCTGGTGTCAGTTCCTGTGTGAAGTATTTTAAACATACTTTTAAACTTCCTCTTCATAACAAGCACTATAAACTGCTTATGCACTATGAACCTTGTTTTCTAGATTAAAAAGAAAATCTAAACTCAAAGAAACTGAGGAAATGTACATGAAAACAGAGCTAAGAGACAAAATAAGGGTTCAAATCAAGGTGTAATATTAAAGCTCATGAACTTAGTGTAATGCAAATGTACAAAATTTGCAAGAAAGTTTCAGACCCTTGAATTTTATAAGCAGTTCCACTGAGGAGTGAATATTCTCAGAGCAAAGACTACATATTTCCTCCAAACAGACAAAAGAAATTAATTTAAAACAATCATTTTATTAAAAATAGTGAATTTCACAAATACTCATTCAACATTTGTTGTCACTGGCCACTGGAACACACGCCGATGTGTGTACTGATTATTAAACGTAAACTGAAGCTGGCTGCCACAAAAAGCCTGTGCAGCATCAACTTATGATCAACACGAGAGTCAGTTTGGTGAGCTCACGAAGGGTAAACCCTTCAGCCCATCAATGACATTTAGCACAATACATTTCAAGTATAACCCCATAAGGCAACAATATAAAGCATAGCAGCACAACCTCTGTGTCACATTTCCTGATTAAACCTTCAACAGGCCCAGACCAGTTATGGTGAATTACAGCAAGTCAAATTACTGAAAGCAATATGTGGAAACAATCATTGCACTTGCACTTTAATTACTTTAATTCCATATTGTGGAAGATGATTCTGCTACTGGATTCAGCTGGAAATGTGAAGAATGCTGCTGCACTTCAACTCACAAGAAAGCAATTGAATTTCATTTTAGCTGGTAGAAGTATTTGGCACATCTTGTGCATCTGCCAAATGGAGTTTTTGTCTGCATTCATCAGTTAAGAAAAATTTCTTTCTATAATGAGAATTTTTGAATTCTGGAAATTACACTTAGGAATTAAGAGGCTGAAACATTTTTTAAAAAGGGGGGAAGGGGAAGTTATGTTTAAAGGGAAGGCACCCATGTTGCTATTGAGAAAGCTAGAAGTGTAACACAATTTTTCAATGTAGTGAAGTGATTATATTATAGATAGAATTCAAAGGCTTTTAAAAAAGCCACTGAAGCAAGACTATGTTACAGGTTCTAATAGAGCACGGAATTACTATAATACAGGCAAGAATCATTTTCATGTTAAGGAGCTGATTAGAAGCAAATACGAAAATGCAATGGATTAAAACAGTTCTTTTGAGGGGGAAACATTATCATCTTGGGAAAATAATTTCTTTGAAAAGGTAAAAAATAAAATTATCCTAACTCTAAAACCTTTTCTATTATTTTGTGAATTATTTGTTAAAAAGACTGGAAGTAGGATAAAACTTCTGTGTATATTATTGCCATCCCTTATTATCACTTCTTTTTCTTATCTATATTGCCCACATTTGTTATTTCTCAAGGCCCAATTCAGATAGTGATACAAATACTAAGGACAATTAAATGAGAGTAATACATGGATGGCAGCGGTGACATAATGAAGTAAGGCAAAACACTAGTTTGAAGTGAGATGTTTTATGGACAAGCTCAACTTGATTGTTGTATAATAAAGAGAAGGGGAGGCCAGAGCATCTTTAGGCAGGAAGCACAACCTGAACAAAGAATACAGTGATCAAAAACACAAGGTGCTCTTAAGCTTCTGAAAACCAGCTTAGTAGGAATGAGAAAATAAAATAGAGGTACAGACTGTGATCACATTATTAAGCCTTTTTTGACCTAGTTAAAAAAAAAACTTGGTAAAAAATATGAATGTATACATATTCTATAGTCCAGAATTTTTCACATACATGCTAATACATGTAGCTATTGTTCCATATTACAGAGGACACTCCAAGGTAAAACACTGCCTAAGGTTGTACTATCAAGATATGGAACCATATTTCAAAAATTGAATCTTGACTAGAACCAATATCCTTCCTAGTGTGTCACTGTTTGGCTCAAAGGAACGTCTACCTCTCAACTTAAGTTGGTGAACAGACAGAATAATTTCTTAGTATTGTTATATGTCTCACATTCTGATTATGACCATGTTCAAAATTAATTCTGAAAACTGCATATATTTCAAAATACATTTTGAAATTAAAACCTGGATGTTTCACATATTCCCTGGTGAACTTGCTCTAAGCAAATCCTATACCTTTTTTTTTTTTTGGTATCTAAAATATTCCATATAATGCTACTAAGTGTAGTAATAGTATATCTACATATTCAACTACAAAATATAGCATCAGAAAAGATTCAAAATAATCTATATGGTAACTAGCCTTATTCTCAATTCTCTTGATTAAAAAAAGTTTTTAATGATTCAAAAATCTGAAAATACAAAGCAAAGCAGTACAAACCAGAAACAAACTAAATTTCAGCATACAAAATAACTAGAAAATTCCATTTGAAAACCAAAGAGAAGATAACCAAGTAAATAAGAATAGGTGTATAATTTCTATACATTAGAAATTATAATTTTGTAAAATTTTCACTGTTGATATTAAGCAAAGGATACATGGAAGAATTCAATTCTTCTAACTGTAACACAAAGAAACAAATTTAATTTTAACTTTTGTAGGATTAATAGCATAAGTAGATCAATGTATACATTTTAAAATAAATTATTGTTCATTAAGCTTTCTTTAAATGAAAAAGCAGATACTAAAGAAAAAAACTCTTAAAAAATATCCAGACTGTGGAATTCATTTGATTAGTTACAAAGTAGTTTTAGTATTTATTATCTGTTAAATAAGAAGAGGAGACTTAAATCATATGATAATAACTAAAGTCTGATAACTATTTTCAAAACCATTCATGGTTACAATCCCATTTAATAATAGATTCTAAAAGGAAAAAAATACCATAATAATCTTTAAAACTTTTATGAATTACAAAAAGATTTCACAAGACATCCAGTTCTCAGCATGGGATAGAATTATCATCCTTATTATTGAGGGAAAAATTTCAGTTACAGAAATCATAACTAAATTGCCCAAAGGTATAGCGTTATAAACCAAATGTAAACCTTGGCTAAATTAAGGCTTTTGGATTTCAAATCCAGTATCCATTTCACCAATCATAGCTATGCTCCTAAAGACATTGCAAATTACGCATATATGCATTACGAAAGGAAATACTTTAAAGACTGAACATGGTATATAAAGTAAGCATAGGTTTGAAATTTTGAAAGGTCATACAATTTCACTCACCTTTACTTACTCGAGAGAAAAAACAACAGAAATTAATCCTCTTTGTCAACAGTGAATATGAAATCTGAAACTAAGGTATGTTGACTATTTATTTTTGTTCTAAAAAAGATGTAAACAGGCAAATTTAATTAATACCTCTTCAGTATAAAGATCATGCCGGTGTTATGGGCTCAGCTGCGTGCACCTCAAATTCCTGTTTTAGCCCTAATGCTCCAGAATGTGATGTACTTGGAAATCCGCTCTTTAAAGAGGTCATAAGATGAGATCATTGAGGGTGGGCCTTAACTCAATATAACTGGTGTCCTTATATAAGAGGAAATTTGTACACAAGTGCCCAAGCAAAGAGAGAGAATGCCATGTGAGAGTGAAGATGGCATCTCTGAGCCAAGAAAAGAAGCCTCAAAAAAAAAAAAAAAAAAAAAAAAATTTCCAACCCTGCCAACATCCTGATCTCCAACTGTGAGCTTCTAGAACAGAGACATAATATATTTCTGTTGCTGAAGCCACCTAATCTATGCTACTTTGGCAATATCTAAATTACTACAAATAACAGAGTTCTATACTGAAAAATATTTTAAAAAATAAAGATAAGTAACATTTGCATGAATAAATAAAGCAAAATTAATCAAGTGAGGATCTTTTAACATACTGCTTCCTATTGTTGAGTGTGACCAGATATGGGCAGTAACACAATGGCTACCTGTGTGACCAAATATGGACAGAAGCACAATGACTGGGATTGGGCCTTACATCCAGGTATATAGCACCACGTCAGCTTTCTAGAATCTAAACCTAAAGCCTACATAAGACACCCCTACCCCTTACAGCACTCAGAGTAGCTGTGGACTCTATCCTAGGGAGCTCCATCTCAGCTGTTGCCTGGGAGCAATAAGCTCTATTTGTTCAGCCTTTCTGCCTCCCATCTTTCTTCCTTGCCGCCAGTCACAGAAATCGGGATGAACCACCTATAGCTTAAGATCTTGTTATACAGAAGTATTTTGATTTTAGATTTGTCAGTGTTCTCATAATATATGGTTAGATATAAATACGATCATTTCCTTGGAATATATGTCTTTAAAATAAAAGTTAAAATGGATGAAATTTGAATACATTTTATTAAATGAAGGAATATAGAAATAGAAAAACTGCATATTGCATGATTCCATATTGCATGATTCCATTGATGTCCAGACCAGGCAAATCCCTACAGACAGAAAGCAGATAGAGGGGTTGCTAGGACATGGGGAAAATGGAGGACTGAGGGGTACAGGACTTCTTTTGGGGGTGATGAAAGTGCCTGGAATTAGATACAACACGGTGAAACCACTGTAAAAATCATTGAACTATACTTTAAAACAATAAAAAGGGTAAACTTATCTCAATAAAAATGTTTATTTAAGAAAGGATAAAGAAGGACTGTACTCACATCAGACAGAAGCCTATCCAGATTGGAGTCACTGGCTGTTTTTCTCTTTTCCTCAGGAAGTTCCTCTAACTCTCCATAAAGCTCCAAATTCAAGCGGGCTAATTTCTCCTGCATTCCACGAACATGTTCCATCTGTTCAATGGAACATTCATTTCCTGGGGGAACATTCCAGAACATTAGTAAAGATTAAGATAATTCAAATTCACCTGCATATGGCAAACTTTAAACTGTAGCTATTCCAAAAGAAACTAGTTTTCCTTCTTGTATAAATCATGTTAATGATTTCATTATTTTCTGCGTATAATTACAATCAAATTTTGGCCAGAAAATGATAATGATAATCATGACATGAATCAAAGTCATATAGGATATACATTTTTTAAAAAGAAAACAATGTTTAGGTAAAGAAAAAATATTTTATTAAATAGTATTATCAAATATAGAAGTAACAAAGTCAGCTGGTTACAAGATTGACAACTGCTATGAGTTGAATGACTCAATATTTTACAATATCTTTAATAAAAGAATGGTACTTCAAAAGGAATAGCAAAATACAAAAAAATAGGATATAAAGAGGAACACTGACAGCTTACCAAATGCTTGAAGTTTCCCAGAGTGAAAGTCATTCAAAAGGCTCAGAAGCCCTCTCTCCATTTCCTGGACATCTGAGACATCGGTGAGAAAGGAGTGCTGAATTGGAGTTGATTGAGCAGCTTTTCCTTCTCCCCCCTGGGATCTGGTCTTTTCTTTCATCACTCTGCAAAAATTAAATGTATATAATTATCTTTAAAAAAAATATCTGTTCAGGCTATTCTAGATTAAGGAAAAATAGTGAATTAAATAGAATTTCATTTAGAGGCAAGAAATTAAGAAGAAATTAAACCAGTCATTTTGAACCAGAAGCCAAAAAAAAGTTGTGAAAATCTTAAGCAAATGTATGAAATGTAACTACTAAAGCATATACAAATATCTGTGAATATATTTATATAATATTATAATTCTTTGGACTGCAAAATACTGAATAGAGTTAGTAAATCTTTTAACTAGCTTATGTTTCATACATAATTTCTCAGTAAACATATCTACCTTTCCCTTCTGACACTTATCTGATTTTTTCTTCCAACTACCAGTCATTCAACAGGTGGTTATGGGACCCTTATTGTTTCTGACTCTAGGCCAAGTACTAGGTCTACAAAGTTTCACACCTCAGTCACTGGGCACTGACCCAGCCTAAGGAGAATAGAAGATACCTTCACCATCAGAGTAGGATGAAGTGTTAAAACCCTGCTCTCATCCTTGACTCTCCCTGTGGCCCCTAAATACAGCCATGAAATCCTACTGCTAATACTCACCTCTAACCTAGCTCTATCCTCTACCACCTGATACCGATCTCTCTTGACCGAAGTACTCCAACATCTTCCTCCTGGTCTCCCTGTCTCAATGTGTTGTCTGGAATCCCCCTTCCCTTCCCATAGAACACTCAAGCATGCAGGAGGCTCACCAAAACGTGATGTCCCAGGAGAAAACAACCTGCAGACAAAGCCAATTATTTTGTTTTTTCCAATCATCATACAGTGTCACCTTCATAATTTTTTTAAGTCACATGTTACATGTGAATCCACTCTTTTATTTACAAGTGAAGAGAGGAAAAATGCTATATAAGAATAAGTTTAATATTTAACAATATTTTGCTGTAGTGAGGTAAAAAAAAATTCACCTTTTTAACTTTGGTCGCTGTGAAGTTGACTGTGATGCAGGATTTGAAAAGCCAGTGCTTTTACTAACGGGAATGGCATTTTTTTTGGCATTAACAACCTGAGTAGAATGGGCACTAAAGGACTTAGGACTCCTCCTTTTTACTTTTCGCTCTTCCATAGTTTTACAATCTTTATTGCTCCAAGACGAGCTTCTTATGACCTAAGGAAAAACAAAAACATTATTATATGTGAATGCTATAATCTGCCAAAATGAAACAGTCTCACAGATCCATTTCATGAGCTGAAAAGGGTTCAAGAAGTTCAGAGATCATCAGATAATCTAAGTAAGGATCCCTTAAATTGAACCCACTGTGCTATATATTCAGAAGCCCTACACAAAACTGTTAGACAAAAAATTTTTTTTTTACCATTTTCTTTATTTACTTGATCCCATAGTGTTTACTCTATTCCACATGCCAGAAACTGTTCTGGTTTGGGGGTGATATACTAAAAAAGAGACATTCCCTGCGCTCAAAAAAGCATGATCATGCTTTTTTTTTTCACCTACAAATCTTTATTGAATTCTTTCTTTGGGTCAGTCATTGATCTAAAAACATCAGAAAACTAAAGATAACAGTTACTGTTCTTTAATGGAATTGATGTGCAGGGATCTGCCCTTTAATAGCAAAGCTCTATTCAGTGGGCTTCACAGTCCACTTTAGACCTGCCTGGGCTCGACTGTATTTTCACATATAGCACTTAACATAAAGGTTTATGATTTTGCAATAAATTTCATGGTAAATTTTTTTTAAGATTTATTTATTTATTCATACAAATCTGGAGTACAGGTCAGAGATGCGGAGGGTGAGAGGATTCACCAGGGACAGAGTGGGAAGCAGAACAGGCAGATCTACCAAGTACACTGCTGAGGGGAGCAGCAGGCGGTCAGGAGAGGTCTGCCACGCCATGTGGTCACCTCCAGGGCAGGCGGGGTAGAACTCACTGCAGAAGTGGCTTAGGCTTCTTAGTGCTGTGCTTTAACCCGCTGCGCCACCAGAGAGGGCCCGGTAAATTTTTTTTTAATAAAGCATGAATTATAGAAGAGGAACACTCTTAATAACAAATCATCCAAGAAATGTTCCCTGCCTTACTGAAGATTTCAAAGACATCCCTTTGAAAATGTATTCTTGGAAGAGGTAACTAGATTCAAAGAGATATGTAACTGACAGGAGCTTTTAATGAGTAGAAACCTTATTTTAACTACCAAGCAGAAATTCAGTTTCTGACTAGGGAAAAAGCTGATTCTATCACCTGGATTAAAATTCCATAAATAACTTTTGTCATGACTATATATATATATTCTACCTATTTCTAAGGAAACATGAAATTTTCCTATTATGTGTTTAATTTGTCAACATCAAAGATGCACAAGGAACACTATGAAGATACAAGTCCCTTCATAGAGTATGTGTAAAGCCTTTTATTTATCCATTACTTTTCCCTTTTTGTATAATGCACTTCTTCTAACACCTATCTAACAATATCCTCCTGTATTTTCTTTTTACTTATGCATAACATTTAATTTTTCTTGATTAAATTGTTTCAGATATCATAAGATGATAAATTTATGTGACTATTTACCTCATCAGATTGTAAAATGCCTTTAGATTTCTTCTTCAGACCATTGTGCTGAATTTAATCATGCTATGACCAATCAAAAACACTCAAATGCATTGATGTCACTCCTAGACAATTACCTGAGAATTTTTACAAAAACAGATATATCGCTTTTGTCTGGATACCTGCCACTAGCACAGGAATTTAAACCAGTGGCTCAGCTGGTTCAGCCCGACCATGAACAATCATAAATGAAACTATAATACCTACAACACTGAGAGGTTTCTAAAGGAAACGCTTTACTGCTCAGGAGCTAGTCCCAGACGCCAAGTGTAATCCTGGCTAACAATTTTCATGTAAAAAGCATTTTTAGTAACAGAAGAGACTATTTCTAGAGTTTCAACACGCAACACAAATTACATGGAACTTTAAAAAATTGCCAGATAGAGGGCCCTCCCTGGTGGCGCAGCGGGTTAAAGCACAGCACTGAGAATCTAAAAGCCGCTTCCGCATGAGTTCGATTCCCGCCTGCCCCAAA